GAGCACGCACACGGGCGTGCTCTGGCCAGGCCAGGTGCCCTCGGGGCAACATGTGTTTCTGTACCTGAGAAGTGCACGTGGAGAATGTCTTGGAAAGGAGTCCCTCTACTTCAACGAGAGCCACATTTCAGGCAGAGATATTTGTAGTGAGTCTGTGCCTAAAATCCTTCGTTGTATTTTTTTAATCCCCTGGCAGAAACATACACCAAACACTCACAGAAGAACCAGCACAATCGCACATGCTGGCCTAACGAGGAGGTCACACGCCGCGGAAGGAATAACCCGAGACGGGAAGGTATCCCGAGCTTTGCACGTGGCCGTGTCTGTGCGACACGCCTGCGTGCACGTGCCAGTGTGTGGACCTAGCTCCCAGCCATGTGTTTATTGCCACATTTATTTGTAGGAAGTGTGATAAGGGGTCTTTGAACGTGGCTGTCTCGGAGCTTATTTATTAAATAACTCACTAGGCTTCTCCTCTGGAAAAATTTCCAACTATAGCACGAGAGAGCCCCGAGAGGAGCTGACGGCGAGGAGGGGCCACGGAGTGTCCCTGCCCTGGGTTCCTTATTAGGGCACCGTGTCACGTGGCCGTTCCTGCCGGAAACTCAGCTAATTTCCCTCTCCTGTGGAGATCCCGTTTTTCCCTGGATGTCGGTGTTTGCTGAGGAAACGTTATTTGGGCTTGTTTCTTTCGAAGCTTCTTGCCGTCTGCCTCCACCTGCTGGAAAGGCCCGGCCACTCTGCAGAGTGCAGCTGCAGCGCCGTATTTAGGGATGTCTGTTTTCACACCCAGAAGAAAATAGAAATTACAAATACATGGATGTTTACTTATAAACATCATGTGCAAATTAAATGTTAAGCATCAACCTACTATACAATCGTGTAATCAAGGTATTTTAAATATAGTTCCGAGTAAAAATCATTTCATTTTAGGAAAACAGACTTTATGTTGATGCAATAATCCAGAATATTTATCAAAATACAGTTAATTAAAGGTGAAATGTAAATCGTGGCATTAAACTTCTGCACATTCACAAGCACGGCCGCTTCCCCGGCTGCTCATGGCTGTCAGTGACTGCAGAGGGAGTTGCAGTCTGTCCGTACGGAACGCCATTCACACAGCAGCCCGGCCCCGCGGGGTCTGTGTGCGAGGGCACACATATAAATTCTAAGAACTCATATCATTTACCTGATACATCAGGAGCCATTGCAGACTGCTGTGTAAATTCATATTTTGGTACTCTTTAAAAACTGGATTATTATTGACCCAATAGACCATAACAGCTCCAAAGAAGCCATTACTGTCTGTTGTGTAAATCCTTCATGGTGGGTGTTTTATTGACCCTTTGGAGCCATCAGGATCTGTCTTGTCAATCCAGCTGCCATGTACATGTACCAAATGCATGTGCTGAAAATGCCTCGGAAATTGAAGCTGTAGTCAAATTACCCTTGTTCTTGTCCAATAAGTTGCAGTATGCAAGTGGGTATTTCCACTGCAGTTTCTTTCTCTGCCTCCAGAATTCCACTTCCCTGTGTGTATAAAGATGTTGAAATTTTGAAATGTGGGTAAGGAAGTGGCCATTTTATTTCAAGGTTAAAGGGGGGAAAAAAAAAACAACGGAGAGGCTTGCTTTGCATGAAACGGTGTCTCCGAGTTCACAGCAGCTGCGGTGAGATCCCTCTATGGCAGGCTTTTGGAAACCAGCGAGATTCTCTTTTAACTGTTTAAACTCTCGTTTAGTGTTTTTCCACCTACCTATAATTTTCTCTCTCTCTCCCTTTTTTCTTAACAACAAAACAACAATGAAAGTGGGCACTGGAATATTTTCAGGGTCAGGCCTTTGAGGATTTCCTGCTTGTGAGAGACTGGGCCCACCCACAGGGCTTGGACAGGAGTGTCTGAGATGGCGAGTAATCGGTTTGTTTGTCTCCCACTGTAGCCAGAACTATGCAAATAACGTGGATTTCCCATCCTGCAAGAGAGGATATTTTCTGAAAATCAAGCTATGAACAAAATATAGGCTGGAGTTCCCCAAAGCAGAGTGAGTCTTGAGGTCGTTAGATGTACCCTTACTGTCTAGTGCAGGGCGCAGGTTTGCTGCGTTTTTTAAGCTAGGGGAAAAATGCTGATAGAATAATAGTTTCAAAACTTATGGTCAACAGAACATCTGCTTAAAGAGACCAATAACACTTCTTCAAGTTATAAAAGATAGGATAAAATTAAGTGCTCTATAACCGTATTATATCCCCCTAAAACATAATATAATACTTATGTTATTTTCATCTGTAATTCTTACCATTGATAGCTTAAAATGCTGACGTTTACAGGTAATTGGCAAATGGAAGATCGCTTGATAGCAAACTCATTGACTTGGTTTTTTAGTTCTATACCAAGTCAAAGAGTCTAGAATTGCACCTTCGTAAGGAATTGCTAGCGTAATTCTCTTAAGAACATGCCGTTGGCTTTTGCAACTATCTCCTACCCGCTGCATTGCGCTTCATCCGTGCTCCAGAGAAAGGAGGGGGCACGTCTTCCTAATGCTGCAGAGAACAGCACGAGAAAGCCTCCACGGAGCCCTGGCCTTGCTAACCTCAACTGCTCCTCCGCCATCCTCTGGGGAGGATTTGTTTGAATTCATCCCTAAGAGCTGGTTGGTTTTCCACCCGGGAGGCCTCTGACAGCCACCGCGAAGAAATAGCCATGTCGCAAAAACAGCGACACAGACTGGCAGTCACAGCAGAGAAGCTGAATGTGGCTGCCCATGCTTCTGTCTCGTAGGGGAATCCCAGCCCCTCCATGGGACCCCTCAGGGACTGTCCACAGGCTGCAACTTGGGCAGGGCAGGGTTAATGCTGGGCTGCTGCCTGGCAGGGACCAGCTGAGCCAGACAGGCACCTCCTCTGCTGTGTTAACCTTCCCAACCAAGAGGAGAGGCAGGACAGATCCTCCTTACAGCAGCCCTGGTTCATTTATCCAGGGGAGGCACACACGCATGCACACACACACACACACACACACACACCCCAGGCATGGAGACCTTACAGGCTGATGATCCTGCTTCTTGCCAAGGAAATCCCCAGACAGGCACTGCCCTGCAAGTAGAAATACCCTCTGGTTCTGCAAGTCTAGCTGGCCAGGCAAGCGAGGTCACGGAGGGGCCGGCATGATGAAACTCAGCCAGCTGCCTGTGTGTCGCCTGCAGCCAGCATGCACGCTGGGCATGGGGACCAGCTTGCATGA